TCTGGAGTTCTATTTTGTTTTCTTGTACTCTTTTTAGTTTTCTCATTTATTTTTTTCTGTAGCTCTCTCAATCTTTTTCTCTATCTATTGAAAATACCTGAATGTCATTCTTCGAAATTCCTTTTCTGGTGATTCCAATGTCTCTTCTGCCTCAGGAATGTCTTGGTTCTGTACATTTGTCACCTGTCTGTGCCAGCTTATCTTTCTACTTCATGTGAACGGAGATGCCTGTTGTCTCAGACTCAGAGCAGATGAACTCATGTTGTTCATCTCGTGTACAACAGAATAAAACACCTGCTGGTCTGAGGCCATCCTCACAATTGTTCTCATGCTTGAGCCCATTGTTGCAGCCACTGTGTCCATCCATCTTGTTGCGGGCCTTCCTGTTTTTGCCGACCCTCCACTTTACTTTCTCCAGGGACCAGTCTCTCCCTGACAACATGTCCAAAGTACATGACATGAAGTCTTGCCATCCTTGCCTCTAAGGAACATTCTGGCTGTACTTCTTCCAAGACAAATTTGATTGCTCTTTTGGTAGGCCATGGTATTTTCTATATTCTTTACCAGCACCATCATTCACATGCATTGATTCTTCTTTAGTCTTCCTTACTCAATGTCCAACTTTCACATGCATAGGAGGCAACTGAAAATACCATGGCTTGATTCAGGTAGTCCTCAAAGTAATTTCCTTGCTTTTCAATACTTGAAAGAGGTTTTGGACAGCAGATTTACCCAATGCAATGCATTGTTTGATCTCTATACTGCAGTTCCCATGAGTATTGATTGTGGATCTAAACAAGACAAAATTCTTGACAGCTTCAAACTTTTCTCCATTTATCATGCTACCCTTTGGTGTAGTTGTGAGGATTTTGGTCTTCTTTACATTGAGTTGTAATCCATACTGAAGACTGCAATCCTCGATCTTCATCAGCAAGTGCTTCAAGTGCTCTTCACTTTCAGCAAGCAAGGTTGTGTCATCTGCATACTGCAGGTTGTGATTAAGCCTTCCTCCCATCCTGATGCTGTATTCTTCATAGAATCCAGATTCTCTGATGATCTGCTCAGCATACAGCCCAGGTATGGGGAGAGGATACAACCTTGATGCACCCTTGTCTTGATTTAAAACCTTGCAATATTCCCTTGTTCTGTTCACCCAAATGCCTCTTGATCCCTGTGCCAGTTCCATGTGAGAACAATGAGGTGTTCTGGAATTTCCATTCTTCTAAAGGCTATCCATTTTTTGTTATGATCCATAGAGTTGAATGCCTTTGCATACTCAATAAACCACAAGCAAACCTCTTTCTGGTATTCTCTGCTTTGAGCCAAGATCCATCTGATTTCAGCAAAGCTATCTCTTGTTCCATGTCCTCGTCTGAACCCGGCCTGAACTTCTGGCAGCTCCCTGTCAATGTACTACTACATTCATTATTGGATATTCTTCAGAAAAACCTTAATTGCATGTGGTATTAATGATATTGTTCTATAATTTGAGCATCCTGTTGGGTCACCTTTCTTTGGAGTGGGTACAGAGATTAATCTCTTCCAGTCAGTTGGCCAAGTAATTATCTTCCCAATTTCCTGGCACAGACTAGTGAATGCTTTTAGTGTTTACTCGCTAGAATTAAAATATTGTTTTTGAAAATGCACAACACGGATTAATCCTTGTGTGACAGATGGAGAGCTGACTAGATCAAATTCTTTCGATAAACACTGGGTACATGAAGAGTGGGGGATGGAAATGTTCAGACCACGAACCTCTTGGAGAAATGTGCTGCTACTTCTGAAGATCCCGCCAACACTTGTCTGGCAAAAGCCCTGCCTATTATTTCTAAATCTCTTCCTTCTGTAAAGCTTTTAGTCTGCCGAATCTACAGAAGAAAGCAACTGACCTCTTTCTTACCTGGAGTCTGTAAATTTAATCCTGGATCCAGCCTGGTGTGGGGTTTGGAGCTGACGAACAGGTAACAAAGCACACAGGCGGTGACAATGAAGACCAGGAGGACCACCGCTGCTATGGACAGGCCCACCAGAGCGCCAACGCTGCAGAGAGAAGATGGGCAGGAGCTCAGTGTCGAAAGTGGACTTGAGAGGCAGTGTGAGGTAGCAGACCTGTTGGAAGTGCTGTAGAAATGAGCCCGTTTTGACTTGTCCTTGCTGGTCTTGGGAAACCACAGTTGACCCACTAACGGAAAGGTTAGAGGTTTGAGCCCCCTTATGGGCTCCTCAAGAAGCCCTGGTGGTGCACTGAGTTAAGGCGTGAGCTGTTAACTGCAGAGCTGGAGGTTCCAACCCACCAGTTACCCTGAAGGAGAAAAAAAATAAAGATTTCATCTCAGAGATCCTAAAGAACAGGTCCGTTTTACTCTGCCTTAGAGTGTCACTGTGAATCAGAATCGACTGAAAGGCTCCTCAAAAGGCAGACTGGAGGGTCGACTTCTGAAACATCAGCCTGGCAAACCCAGCGGAGCACATGGCTCCACTCTGACACACGGGGGTCCCAGTGAGCTTATCCACCTTGAACAGGCTCTCTTTTCCTGAGGACAAGAAAGGGCCCCTATGCACTGTCTGAAGCCCCCTCATAGGTGCACGCTTTCCTGTTCCCATGTCAAATGTCCTTGTCTTGATATTGATTCCTCGGCCATCCTTCTTTATTAATCCAAGGAACTTGATCGGTAAAGGGCACTTGATTTTTAAACTTGTTTTTAATTGTGCATTAGGTGCTGCATTATTTTTACTTCCAGAACAGATCATCAGTTTTATGGTCAACAGCTCATACACACGGTGTTGCAATTCAGCCATCACAATCCCCTCAATGCGCCATCCTCGAGTCTCCTCCCGCCTTGTAGTTTCTCTTCCCATGCCTCCTTCTCCCTACCCATGGGACTCTGTCCTTGGGTAGACGCTGCCCCTCTGACCTTAAGTGGCTGGTGTTGCTAGCACCGGGGAAAGCTTTGTGCCTGACCAGGGGATGACTGAGGGTCACAGACTGGAGGTTCCGCTGGGTTTCTTTTATGATTTGTGTTTTGTTCTACAATTTTCTCTCATTCTACTCAGCATCTTCTAATATGATCCTTTTCGGTGCAGTTGGAGGTAGTCCAGGACACTTCACGCAAAGACCTTTGGCACTGTGGTAGTTACATAATCTGGTGTCAATTTGAGGATTAAGAGTGTAGGGGTGGAGTCTAGCCATCAATCAGGATATAGCCATTGAGGGCTCTGTGTGGGCATGGCCTTCTCCTGAAGTTTCTGGAACTCAGGTATTTCTTCCTTGGAGGTGTGAGACACACTCTCTCTCTCTGCTCACTCCCTTGGAGACTCTACTGACAAGGCTCACTCCCTGGGAGACATTGCAGCTGACAAGACACATGGAATTACGCTAGTGCCCTGAGCTGGAGAAGCCACAGAGAGACCCCTGCCAGCGCTGAGATACTTACAATGCCCCTGGATCCAGAGGGGATCCTGATAGATCTTCTCCAAGGACACAGGGTGATCAAGAGGGATCATTAGACTCTATCCATAATTGAGGGATGGGGGTGGGAAAAGGGGTTACTAAACAGAGGGCATTGGAGAGATGAGGCTAGAAGATCAAAGGCATAAATCTGACTTGAACAGTTAAAATTTTGTCAATTGATTTCCCCTCTGATGCACACTGGATCTGACCTGGTTTTCAACACTGTCTTTTTGTTTTGTTCTGTTTTGGGTCGTTCGTATTAGGGAGAAGCTCAGAGGTGTCATGTCACTGGAGATCACACTCTTGAAGTTGTGTGATGTGCTGTTCTGTTTTTCGGTAGATGCAACTCAGGATTGATGAGCCGAGAAGGACAGCAAGTAAAACAAGGGTTTTGGGAGGCCAGGGTACAGAGGCCGGGGGTGGGGAGTGGGGGTGGGGAGGTAAAAGGGAGACAATGTCAAGGAGTCCGGAAAGAAAAAGAATGTTTGGAAACTGATTGTGGTAGCAATTGTACAGTACTGCTTGACATGATTGAACTATGGAATGATATACGTACTAACTCCCAATTAACAACAAATTAATAATAAATAAATAAGAGAGTTACAATCTCAGAAACCTACAGTGGCAGTTCTACCCTGTCCTATGGGGTTGCTATGCTAATAGAAGCAGGCAAATTTCTTTGAGAAAGGCTTAGTAAGATGGGACTGTTGCCTTCAGAAGAGTATAGAATAGACCTCAGTGGAGGGTATGTTGAGAAACAATGTTTCACATTTTGATATTTTTGCTTAGTAAAGGTTTCTCTGATTTTGTAGCAATGCTTTTTTGATTCATGTGTGTGTGTGTGTGTGTGTGTGTGTGTGTGTGTGTGTAAAAGGATGGAAGGAATACACTGAATCGTGAACCGGCTGTCTGTCTCTGGATGTAGCACGCACTGTGTATGTTCTGTCCATGTCTGTTGAGCCTTAGCACTGTAGAACCTTCTAGCCAGAGTTTAACTGTTGGCATCTGCATCTCTATGCCTGAGGCCTTCCTTCAGGCCAAAGCAGGCCCGGTGTACCCATTGGAGAGGTCAGACCGAAGGAAAGCCAACCTCCAGCAATTCGAACCAATGACTGGCCTGGAAACACTCATCTCCTCACTCTCAGGGGGCTCACTGAGGACACAGTCTACACTGGATGGCAGAGGTCAGCTAGCGGAAGCTGTGGGGACCGATCCGTGGTGACTTGCTTGGTAGCATGCCCTTGACTGCTACACCTCCTTGTCCCTGTTTCCCTCTCTCCCACCTACCAGTGCTTCTTGGGGTCGCTTTCAGGATCTTCCTTTGGGGAACTGAAACCAAGATCTTGGATTCCCCATGACTCCCCCCCTTTTTGTTGGTCTTGTTCTTTCCACAGGAACTTAGCATCCACTTGACAGACCCGATCATATCAAGAAAGGGCTGTGCAATCATCGTTACAATCAACTTTAGAACTCCTCCCGCCCGCCCGCCTTTTGGGCACCTTGGTGTTGATTCCCAATTTGCCACCACCACCCCACCTCCGAGTTCCCAGGGAATCATTAGCCCTGTCACTATCCTTGAGTTAGTTTGAGGACTCGCTAGGGTTTGTATGGCCATTGTCGGTGAGCCCTTGCTTGGTGTCTGCCCCAGGCTTGTATCGTTATCTGTATCGGGGAAACTGCTATTGGAGCATGTAGTACTCCTTCGGTCTTTCAAATTTAATGAAACATGGTTTTCTCTTTTGAGATATACTGACTGCTCATAGCGGAGACCTGTGCACAGGCTGAGACCCTACCCTTTAAAAAAGAAATCTCTGGGCACCTGGATATAAAGGGGCCTCAAAATAGGGTCATTGCCCAATTCTACCCTACAAATCCGGCTAGATCAGATCATGTACACTGGTACAGATAAGAGCCCGCAACACAGGGAATCCGGGACAGATAAACCCCTCAGGATCAATAATGAGAGTAGCACTATCAGGAGGATAGGGAGACGATGGGGGAAGATAGGGGGAACTGATAACAATGATCGACATATGACTCTTCCCCCCCCCTGGGGGGGATGAACAAGAGACAAGTGGGTGAAGGGAGACCATGGTCGGTTTAAGACATGAAAAAAAAAATTACATATAATTAAGGATTCATGAGGGAGGGAGGGTGGGAGAGGGAGGGGAAAAATGAGGAGCTGATACCAAGGGTTCAAGTAGAAAGAAATTATTTTGAAAACGATGAAGGCAACATATGTACAGATGTGCTTGTCACAATGGATGGATGGATGGATTGTGATAAGAGCTATAAGAGCCCCCAATAATTTTTAAAAAATCATAACATTGTGAATGAGGGGGAGTGCAGAGTGGGGACCCAGGGCCCATCCGGGGGAAATTGGACATCCCCTTGCAGAAGGGCTGCGGGAAGGAGATGAGCCAGTCAGGGTGCAGTGTAGCAACGATGAAATATGCAATTTTCCTCTAGTTCTTAAATGCTTCCTTCCCCCCACTACCATGATCCCAATTCTACCTTACATATCCGGCTGGACCGGAGGATGTGCACTGGCACAGATAGGAACTGGAAATACAGTGAACCCAGGACAGATGAACCCCTCCGGACCAGTGGCGAGAGTGACGATATCAGGAGGGTGGAGGGAAGGTGAGGGAGAAAGGGGGAACAGACGACAAGGTCTACATATGGCCTCCTCCCTGGGAGATGGACAGCGGAGAAGTGGGTGAGGGAGGTGTCGGATGGGGTAAGATATGATAAAATAATAATAATTTATAAATTATCGAGGGTTCAGGGGGAGCGGGGAGGGAAGGGGAAAAATGAGCTGACATCAAGGGCTCCGGTGGAAAGCGGGTGTTGTGAGAATGATGAAGTCAACATATGTACTAATATGCCGGACACAAATGATGTATGTATGGATTGTGATGAGTTGTATGAGCCCCTAATAAAATGATTATTTAATTTAAAAAAGCCCCCAATAAAATGTTGTTGTTTTTTTTAAAAAAATAGGGTCTTTGAAGTTATGGGTAAGAGAGCTTAGAGAATATGCCCCAGGCTGAAGGCTCTCTCTCCACAGTCTCCACTGGTCTGTCTAGGGGCGCGGGAACCAGCCCCTGCGGACAGAGCTGGGAACCACAGTAGACATTCCAAAGGGGTGCCGCTGGGCTTGGTGTAAGGGGAACTTTAAAGGATCATGGTCTCATGGTGAATGCACAGCCTCAAGAGGTGGCTAGTTCCCCATCCCTGGAGAGGTTTTGGCAAAACACCGGAAGGAGTGCATGTGTCAATGAAGTTAGCCATTTCTGCCCTGGGTGGGACATCAGATTAGAGAGCTAGCTGTCAGCCTTCTAGGGTTGCATTGATCTATGATTAGGAAGAAAGCTCTGGGCAGTGCAATAGTTTATGGGCTTGGCTGCACCTGATGGGTGGAGGTTTGAGTCCTCCCAGAGGCAGAAGACCTGAAGATAGTCTTCTAAAAAGGCAGCCTTTGAAAACCCATAAAGTACAGTCTCCTTCTGAGAGATAGAAGCTAGCCTGCAGGCAGAGAGGGAAAAGAGGCCCAGCAGCAGAAAGTATTGGGAGTGGCAGCCTGTTTGGAAGGGCGATTTCAACATCCGAGAGCAATTCAAATTGCTGCCATCAGACCCCTAGGCTGATTCTAAACGCCAAACTCAGCAAACCCAAGACTCTTTGCTGACCCCTTGCGTGCTTACTTCCCTGCCCAAGCCTTTGCAAGACTCAGCCACAGAGGAAGCAGGACCAGGTTTATGACTGACCTGAGAACTAGGAGCAGACCTGGGATTGGTCTGTCCATACACAGACAGGCCAAGTACCCCACATCTGACAAAAGCCCCTAGACACAGTTCGTTCAGGAGCAGCTCATTTGAGTTCCCACCTGCCGTGTGGGTACTTTCCTTTCCAAATAAACTCTGCTGGCTGCTGGCTGTTTTGTAGTCCATTTTTCCGCTCTCAAGATCAAGAGTCCCTGGACACATCAGAGCAGTTGCAACCTTTGACACACATGAAGTCACCATGAGTCTGAACTGAGTTTTGTATGATTACCAACCTTTGAAAATTCACTGTGACCCCCTAAGGGAAAAAGTGAGGAGCAGCCTAGCAAACAAAGACATTGGAGTCAGTCCTAAGTGTGAATTATCTAACTGTTGCAATATCCTCTGAGCATTCTGAACTTCTTTCCTTCTTTGTGAAGAGAGCAAGGCGCTAACCATACCTGACCACTCTACTCTCTAGCTGCTGCCGCCTTAAGGCTCTTGCCCTGGTCAAAAGCAGAAGGAGATGTTGGGAAACTGGGCCAGCCAGTGTAATAGCACCAGCTGCTTCTTGAAGGGGAGGACTGGCTGCCTGAGGCATGCTTTAAAGACAGTTACTCTTCTTAAGCACTCTCTCTCCCCAAGGAAATAGTGATTTTGATTGATTGATTTTTTTAAAGCCAGTTCTTGTGAATCAAGCCAAAGAAGAGTCTAGGACAGAGCCAGGTCTTCACCTTCCAAGGGTAAGGCTGTCAGGCATAGACTGAAAGAATCTTTTCAGGGTTTGGAACACATTGAACAAACACCCAGCTGTCTGAGGGCACTCGATTCCCCTCCTCCACTTTGCAATCGTCTGCGATGTTCATGAACCACATGACACAGCCCCTGTGTCCAGGAGGAGTCAACCCTGCATGCTTGGACTCTCCAGCTGCCCTTGGGAGGAGTGGGTGTCACAGCATGGAAGCACACGGACACTGGAAGTCGTCTCTCCAACCCTCTAGCAAAGTGTCTGAGCCAATAAAGCACTCCCTGTATCCAGAGGGTTTCTAAGGCAACAGAAACCCCTAAAGAGGTAGAGTTCTAGGTAGGAACAGGAGTGGTGGAAGAGGGATCAGGTCTTGCTTAGGCACTGAAGGGGTGGCACATCTCTGTGCCCTGAGTTGGAAACCCTATAGAGGGTGACCATGAGTTGGAATTGGTGCCTTTATTACATGCAGCAATCACACTCACGTATTATTTTACCCACTCCTCACAAGTCCACAAGCAGGTATTACTATCTCCATGTTAAGAATGAAAACAATAACTAACAAAAAGGCTCTGAGATTAAGTAACTTGCTCATATCCACCGAGCTTGATAGAGCCAAGGTTTGGACCAGCTTCTGACAAGCCAAAAAGCTGTGCAGTGTCTCTGTGCCTCAACAAGAGGTCAGAACCATCATCTTCCAGCACCCAGCGCATCTTATCAACACTCCATTGCTCTACTTTAAGGGTATGCCCTTTTCCTCTCAGTGGACTGTGAACTCCTCCTCCAGGGTAGAAGACAATTGATTTCTGTGTTCTGGCACAAAGCATACGCTATAACGAGTGCATGACTGAATATACTAATGACAAGAGAATAAGTTAATATGATTCTCTGAGTTACAAATAGTTGTCACATATGCATCCAAAACACACACACACACACACACACACACACACACACACACACACACACCGGAAAAGCCTTCAGAATGATAGCTTATAGAGCCTAGAAAGGCTTTACCACCTCGAATTGTCACTGGTTGACTTCACCTCTGTTTCCTTATTTGACCCTCACCACTGCCTTGTTTGGGAATCACGGTCATGATTGTTCACAATGCCATTGGATAAGATGCAAAGAGAGACACTTGGGGTTTGTTAGCATACAAAGGTGTCCTTTCCCACCCAGAGCTTCTGCGGCTCCTGCTCTACCCCGTTCTGGAACAGGAAGCTCACGGCTACTGAGATGGTCCACTCCAGCTCTTCTGTACTTGGCTTCCCACAGCAGGCTCAGCAGCAGGCCTTTTTTTTTTTTTTTGGTGGGGGGTAGCCAGGCTGTGAAATCTTTGCAGACCCCCCCAGTGCTCCAAGATGTGAATGCAGTAGGGAACCAGTGGAGAGGTCTGAGGGGCTGGCTCCA